AGCAGGAATCTATGATAATCTAGCTCAGCATTTTCAATATATTTAGTACTAGAATCCTTTTGAAAACCAAATCATGTTTTCTGTGGGATCTGAATATATAAAAGAGACATAGAGGGAGCTGCTTCAGTTAGCATACTCACTTGTACCTAAAGCCCACCTTCTGTCCCTCTGGCAGCCAAAGGTTCCATAGCATAGACTTTGAAAACCACCAACCAAGTCCCACTGTAGGAAAGTGAAGCTCCCAAAGTCCACAGTGGCTGACAGTAATCACGGATGCTTGTTAAACAGAATGGCTCACAGGTATCTGAAACAGCGCCCCTTTCAAAGTAAACCTGTGCCAGGAAGTTTCAGTAGGAAAATGCGGTTTCATGTAAGGGTATGGGAAAGGCCACCATGAAGGGGAGGGGAACGGGAGTGAAATATCTTGGATACTGCATACTTTACCAGTTATGTCATGCTGTTTGAATGACTCACTGTAGATCTGATACTGATTTGGACAATGTTTCTTCAACCACTTGCAGACATCCTGCTGGGTCCACAGAGCCACTGGTTTTGACAGCTTTACCGTCGCTGACTATAAATGAAGAAGAAAAAGAAGGTCTGTTAATGCCAGCCCCATGCCTACAAAGGCAGTACTGTGTAAAGTCCTAGAGTGTGGTAAAGGCTACAGATTGGATTCTGTGATGATAAATATCTGGTTCTTGTCTTCCTCCTAGCCTCTCAATACTGCTGAAAGCACAACGAAAAAGTCCAGATGGAGATGGCCAAGAAAACTATCTCAGTTATCATCTCTACTGGGAAAAATTCCTAGGAGTCTCTAGGAAGTAGTGTTTTCTAAAACACAAGGATAGGGTTGCTAAGCAATTAATTGAATTTTAGGGACAAAATGGTTGCCCCCAAGTGCTTTTCTCTCTACTCCAAGAAGATATTCATTCTTGCTTTCTCGGATGTCTCTAGGGTCTAGTACATCACTGGCCCCAGCAGAGGCTAATCCTTATTTTAGAAATGAATGCAATAGGACTTAGATACCTGCATATACAAAGTGCAAGTCTGCCTGGGGGCTCTGAACTTCCAGTGGCCCTGTAAAGCCTAGGAACATTAGTTATGTCACAGTGGGAAAGCAAAAAGTCAATTCTACCAGCATTTCAGGAATGGTAATCAGATAATGGGTTAGTTAGGTTTTATAAAGAAGCCAACTAGTCATGGGCTGTTATGCTCACTGGATTTTGGGGAAGTGTTTATGAGAAAAACACAAGCTCACAGGGGTATGAAAGGTCCAGCCTTTGGCAAATGGCAGATTACAAATACGTTTATGAATTAAAAAGCTTCGACTCTGCCAGATGCTAGTGGCCCTCCTAGATCCCAGGAATTTGGTTAAGGGTAAATAAAAGCTTCATGATCAGTAATTTGTATCATTCGGTATCAGTATTTGCCAAAAATGGAGGGTTATTGTATTAGTCACTGTTAAAGGATCTTGGCTGGTAAAACCTGGATTTAAACATCACTGTCCTTGTCCTGAGGTCTTGCTTTCTTGCACATTTTTTTTCTATCTTTCAGATTAAGGCACGGAGAGAACCTAAATTTGTACAGAGTGTGATATAATATCCGACACCTGCTAGTGTGCTTTTTAAAAAAATTTTCTTTGACAAACAGAATGCACATTTCAGTCTTAAGAACTATCCATAGAAAGCAGTACATATAGCTTCTAATAATTATTCTGCTTTACATTTCTATTTAAGGACTTTTTCTTTGGGTGGCAGATAAATTATGGCAAAAATAATTTTTTGATGGTGTCTGGTTTGCTTTTCAAACAAATGAGTTAAAAAAATCAGTCAGCCAGTTTAAAGAAAAACAATTAAAACGATAGCGCAGAAGGTAAGAGGATCATAGCAAAAATAGTATAATATGCAAGTGAGTCAAGTTTAGAAAGTATAGTGTTCAGGTGGGATTTTTTTAAAATTATTTTATTTTAACTTTATTATTATCATTATTATTTTCCAGTTTGATCAGAGACAGACAGAGAGAGAGGAAGTGAGAAAGCAAGCCACCAGGTCTGAGACTTGAACTGTGGTCGGCCATGTGGGAGTCCAGCGCCCTTAACCACCATGCCACTTGCCGGCCCATTCAGGTGGGATTTTTAAAAAGTATATTTCTGTTTTTTTTTGGAGAGGTTTTTGCTATAGGGCACATGCACTTGCCAGAAAGACAGAGAGAGACAGAGAGACAGAAACTGAGAAATCGGCCCCCAGGGGGGATGGTCATGCCGCGATCCCTTCTCCTCCATTCTCCTCTCGGGATCTTGGGCACGCACGCATACATGCCCAGTGTGAGTTTAAGCCACTGGGTCCGGACTCGAACTGCGGTCGACTACATGGGAGTCCAGCGACATAGCCATTACGCTAACTGCTGGTCCCTAAAAAATATATTTCTAATCGCATGATTCCTTAGATCTTTACTTACAAGAATAATCACAAATAGTACTTTTCACTTTTTGCTTTATGTTGTAATAATTTCTTTTCAGTCTTAAGTGAATAAAAGTAGACTGTATGAGGCAACTTCAAAAAGTTTGTGGACAAAATGGAATTAAAATTCAAGATTATTTTGGAGCAAAATATTTTTTTACAATCTATCCATAGCCTTCCCATAATGCACATTTCAATGAAAATTTTGCAGACCCCCTGTATTTTCCAAAACGATTTTATATGCGTACATACGCTCACGTACACATTTGTACATACTCATATATATCTGTTTTTCATTCAGTATGACTGACATTCTATTTGGCATTGATATTCCCTCTAGTTGAATTTTGGCAAGATACAGGACTGTCCTAAGCAATGCAGTATAATGGAATCGATACCTTGTGATTTCTAAAACTAAGTCATTAAAAAAAAAAAAAAAGCACAGCTTCAGCCTGCCTCACACTCTCTGGTATTCACCTTTGGAAACCAGTTGCCAAGTTGTAAAGAAGCCCAAGTCATATGAAGAAATCATGTGCTTTGTTGAATCCCATCTAAGGTCTTCACTCACGGACACCACCAACCACGGAACAAATGAGTAAACAATGATTCCAGCCACCAGCCTTTGAATCTTACAGCTGAGGCTTCAGACACCACAACACAGAGACCAGCCACTCAACCATCCCTGAGTGAACTCCTGACCCACATAATCCATGAGCATCGTAACCACTTATCTCAGACCACTGACTTTTGGGGTAATTTGGTTTGCAAGCCTAGTAACTGGACGATTAGGTTATATGCCCAATGAGAATAGGAGCTGTTAGAACTGTGATCCCCACAGTTCTTTGCTTTTACCAGATGCTCTGATGTCCACAATGAATAAGTGAATGAATTAACGGAAGCAGACAACTTTCACTGAGCCAGTGTTCGCAAACTAGACTTTCTGCTTAATCAGCTGCAAATTTCAAGTCAAACCATTTGCCTTCTAACCTTTGTAAAATCACATGATCCCTTTCCTAATTCTGAGGAGAGAGAAAGACCTTGTAAATGGAGGGTATAAATGACTAAAGTTTTGTTGTTATTGTTGGTTTTTTTTTTTTTTTTTGCCCATCACTAATTTCTTTCCTTTGCGTGATTAGGAAACTAAAAGTTTAGACCTTTTAGCTAGAAATGCACTTACCACATTTCCCAAGTCAGCACCTCTGAATCTGGCTCTTCGCTGCTCTAAAAATTTTCCTCCAGATTAGCTGGATGAGTTTATAGCTGACACATCATTACCCTGAACTCTTACAAGTTTCTGGCAAGTAAAGCTAATCACATTTTTGGAAACTCTTATAAACTAGTCATAAAATGCTTTCAATTGGGAAGGGAAAGGCAGGAGGGCGAAGTTGCTTATCCATCAACATAGTCAACTTTGTTCCTGAAAAGCCATTCTTAACCTTGTTCACTTCCTAGGAGAAGCAGGGTCCTCAGCATCAACTGGGTTTAGGTGGAGATTTCACCCCAAATGCCAAGTCTACTCTGAGGGCAATCTCATCTGCCCATCATGTACGTTGTTCCAAGTTTTTCTTTCATTGAAAAATCCAAAAGTTCTGAGGCCAATACTCAACGAGATGCCTTACTTTTTATTCAAAATATGCTCTTACTAAGCGGTAATTTGCTATCACTCCAAGTTTTAGGCATCGATTTTTAAGACCGTATGAACCTACTGGGGTAACTGCATGTAAACTGGCATAACAAATAAAATGGGAAAGAGGAGAGTAAAGAATTCTACGCTTAATATCACTGCTTGTCAGTACTTAATCAGACAGTGAGAAAAGTATAGACCCATTCATCGACTGATTCGTAGTCTTGGCTTTTAAAAAATAAAATTGTTATTAGTTTGTTCCATGTAAACTTGTTAAGAGCCATAATGGCTCCACTTCCCCAGTCTGCTGCTTCTTTCTGGATTCCTGGAGCCAGCTTTCATTTATCCTGCCTGCACTTCTCTTTTAGGAGCAATGTGGGAGACTCCTAGTTACTTTTTGCCTCATGGTGCTCCTCCTCAACAGCCACGTCTGGGAAGTGACTGAGACAGCTGACCACTGTCTTTAAAGAGCTTGTCCTTCTAGGAACCAGCAGCTGGCTTAATGGTTACATCACTGGACTCCCATATAGTCAACCGTGGGTTGAGTCCCTGACCCGGTGGCTTGAAACTCACACTGGGTGTGTGGGCAGGCATAACCAAGATCCCAAGAGGAGAATAGAGGAGAAGGGACTGTGGCGTGGCCTTCTCCCCTGAGGGGAGTGATTTCTAGCTTTCTGTCTGTCTCTCTCTGTGTCTCCAGTGAGCACATGCACCCTATAGCAAAAAGACTCTTCAAAAAAAAAAAAAAAAAAGCTTAACCTTCCATATGTCATTTTTAACAAGTAGCAGCATGTGTTAAAACTGCATCCACCTAATTTCACGTACTGTCCCTTTGAGAAGGTTGGCACGGGAGGCGCAGTCCTTTGACTGCCTTCCTTTCCTCGCCATCTAACAGCCAGACTCTATTTACATTCATCTCTACTTTGATATACTGCCTGTTCCTGCCCCATCCCTATAGTGAGAGCTTAAGTCAAAATAATAATAGTTAATAATGCAAAGAGATAAAGCATTTCACATTTACTAGGAACATTAAACTAATAAAAAAAAAAATCCTGCCCAAAGGCAAACATTAAGCAAGCATTTACCCCAGTTCTCTTTCTCCTTGTTTATGTCTACCACATCCCTCTATGGATTTACAACCCTAGAGACAATTTTGGTTTGTTTTGCTGCCCTGAAAGAGGCCTGAGGCAGTTTGTTATCTTAACCTCTAAGCACTGTGACACCAAGTAAAATTCCAGGCATTTCCTTTCTGAACTGGTCCTGGCCTTTCTATAAACAAACTGCAAGTGCATTTCATATGTCTTAACTTTCTATTTTCCTGGGAGGCCTCACTTTATGCAAAATACACATTCCTGAGGGAAAGGTTTGCAAACGTGTGTGTGTGTGTGTGTGTGTGTGTTTTAAGAAGATCGCTATTTTAATTTGCCCTTATACAATAATTTCAGCTATGATTTATAGTAATTTCTCAATTGTGCTTGAAGAAAGATC